CTTGTTCCTTGATGCCTGACACCCGATCCCTTTGACAGCTCGTGGTCACACATACTGGTGTGCTTCTTCCATGTGGGCTTTGTTGCTTCTGAGCTAGTTGCCCGCTTGCTTATCTTCCAGCCTTTAAGACCCCAGATGCTGTATCTTTTGATAGCCAGGCACCATCGAGACTGTTACTCTTTAAGAGAGTAGAAAGCCCTGTCTTCCTCCCTCGGAGCAGCTGGTGAGTTTGAACTGCTGACCTTGAAGTTAGCAGCCGAACACATAACGCCTATGCCAAGACTGTTCTCTATATTATTTGTTTTGATGCTCACAAATTAGAAGACATTAAAATACTGTTATTTTAGAATGCATAGAAACGTAATTATTCCTATACTTTAGAATGCATAGAAAAATAATACGTCAGAACACATAAATATTCCCATTTTTCAGATGGGGAAATGACGGCACAGCGTGGTTAACGACTGCTCGCAGTAACAATCTGGTGGTTGGCCAAGGAGGACCCCTGACTCCTAATCCGGGCTTTCTCCTCTGCTCCACAGCAAGTGACTTGGGGGAGAAAACCACATGGGACAGTCGGCCCTCACGGTCTCCTGTGCACCTTTGTCACAATGGAAGCCTGGCCCCTCCGCCCCCACCTAGCAGCTCTGTTCTCCTGGCACTTCTTCTGGAAGTTTCCTTGCTCCTCCTCGTCTTCCAGCTTGCTGCTATGGGGCCTGGGGACAGTGGCCCCGACTGTGCCAAACCCTCATTTTCCACCCAATCTCAGCAGGAGGATGAGTGTCCAAAGTGGAAAATGTGAAGAAAGGGTTTGACATCATGTAGGCTATGGTTTTACAATGCTGAGTGGTTCCAAAGTTAAACATAGAAGGAGAACAGGACAATGATTTTAAAACGATCTGTGTGTGTGAAACACTGAGGGACAGAGAGATAAAGAGAGAGGAGAGGAGAAGGGAAGGGGAGGAGAGGGGAGGGAGAAAAAAAGAGGTATGAGAAAGAGATGGGGAGAGAGCCGGGGAAAGAAAGAAGTGGATGTGGCAGTGGACGAGGAAGGACAACGACCAGGAAAAGGGGTGGGAGGCCTTTGAGAGGGAGGCATCTACCAATGCCACGCCACCACTTCCTTCTTCCTTCCCGGAGCAGAGCCCCCAAGCTCCTGAAGCAGCTGGGCCTGTTCAGACCCCCAAGTTCCTCCAGGCTCCACAGCCAGAAAGCCAAGAATTGTGCCCACCAGTGCAGCCCCCTCAGGTACTGTTTCTGCCCCCTATGTTCTCCCCTGAGCCCCTACTGCCTTGAGCCTGGGCCTAGGTAAGGCAAAAGCATGGAAGGCACCCCTTAGCCATTGATGACTGGTGGCAGGACCCGGAATGCTGTTGTTGAGCCCAATATGGGGTCCGGTCAGGGGGGCAGGCTATGAGCCATCAGTGACCACTTCAGAGCAGGTGGGGAGCCAGCCCTGTCACGGCTGTGCATACCTGTCCAACAGGCTCACCGCCACATCCCAGGCAACACCCGTGGGGAACACATGCCAGGTCTGTGAGGGTCATAGCAGACGTGTGGCCTTGTCACGGGGTTTGCTGAGCCCCGGTGAGGTTAGGAGGAGCCCTAGGGGCGCAGTGGTTATGTGTTAGGCTCCTCCCTGCACGGCCAGCAGTTTGAAACCACCAGCTGCTCTGTGGAAGAAAGATGGGGCTTTCTACTCCTGTAGAGAGTGACAGTCTCAGAAACTCACAGGGACCGTTCTACCCTGTCCTACAGGGTCGCTATGAGTCAGAATCGACTCGATGGCAGTGAGATTATTTTTTTCTAGTTTGGTGAGGTTATACCACAGAATCCCGGGACTCAGTGTGGAGATGAGAAAAGCGCTTTATATGAGGAAGCTCACCTCATTCATCCTCAACTTTCTACAGATGAAGAGCACACAGCAGAACGGGGCTTGAGAACAATCACTTAAAACAGGGAGTAAAACACATGATGGTAGCATGTGTGAGTGTGTATGCAGATGTGAGTGTGTGAGGATGAGTGTATGTGTATGATTGTGAATCTGTGTGAACATGTGTGATTGTGCCTGTATGTAACTGTGCATATGTGAGGGTATGAGTATACATGTGTTTGTGTAAGTGTGTATGTGAACCTGTGTAGGTGCAAATGAGAATGTGGCTGCATGTGAGTATGAACATGTGTATGTGCATATGTACACACATGTGTGAAGTATATATGTGGGAAGGTGTTAGTATTGATTTTGAATGTGTGTATATATGAGTGTGTGAGCATGCTCATGTAGTGACTGTGCATGTGAGGATGTGAATGTGAATGTGTGAGTAGATGTAAGGGTGGAACATGGAAGTGTGTGTCCGTATGTGAGTGTGCGTGTGTGAGAATGTGTGCACATGTGCTCAAGAGTGAACACATTGGAGTGCACCTGCATGTGTATGAGTTTACATGAGGTTGTGTATGTGTGAGTGGGAATGTGTCTGAGTGAGCGTGTGTATCAAGTGGGTACGTGTGTTGTTGTGAAGGTGTGTGGGTATGTGTACATATGTGTGAGTGTGAAGTGAGTGTGTTCGTGGAGTACTGTCACAGTGGACGTGTGAGAGAGTGGTGCATGAGATGTGCTTTCTACAGCCTGGCACACCTGGCGTTCTTCCTGGCGTCCTTGCTTTGGTCCTAGTTTTGGTGAGCTGCTGGACTGCCTGTAGGCTGGACATGCCACAGACTCTGAGCTGGGGGCTGCTGGAAGGTCCGGCCGTGGCACTGCACACACCCTGGCAGTGCTGGCCTTCTTGTCCTGGAGCGTTCTCTCCCTGGGAGGGGGCGGGGGCGGGAGTGGGGGTGGGGAGAGATCAGTGGTTATTTTCTCCTCTAAGGGTTTACATGGAAAAGGCAACTGTGGAAAACCCCTCTGGCCATCATGCAGAAAGAATGCATTCAGTAACAGACCCACACGGCCTCTTCCCTTGTGCCTCTGTCATGGGAAGGCGGTGAGGTGGGGGGAGATCAAGCTAGCAAGACATTGCCAATTCTGCGTTTTAAAATGTAGCATCATTCCCGATTCCACTTTTATCTGTGTCTTATAGCAACATTCATTTATTCACAGAGGCCCGTTTCCAAGAGACGATACACTGCGCAGTGTAAAGGAGATTGATCTTGTATTTTCAAGCCTTCGGATTTACTTGAGAGAAAGAATACTTTGCATGTATTTGACTAGTACTGATCAAATTTCATCTCCTTGGTGTTATGTGATAGCCTCACAATTGAGTCCTTTTGTCCTGAAACTTTTTTCCCCCTGCTTTTCTTTTTGAACCTCTGTTACAGTACAGTTTATGACTCAGTCCTGCCCAAAGTTTTGGTTTTCTGTGAGGGCGGTCTCGTCCATGGCACTTTGTCTCCGTGAGCCCCTTCACAGCGTGGTTATTTCCAGCTTCTTTTCACATTCTTGTCCCGGCATCTGTCATGTAGCCATGAGCCATGCAAACGCAGCAGCTACTCATCTTCAAGTGTAACCTGCTGAGAATAAAAGATGTAGCAACGGTGATGTGGGAGTTAGGCTAGAAGGTCCCTTCTGGAAGAATCTTTTTTTGGTCTCTAGAACACAAGGGAGTTACACTTCTAAAGCACACAGCAAAATGCATCTCTGTCACCTGTTGGGGCACTTTCTCAGTCACCCTCACTGGACCTTCTTCAGGGAATGTTAAAAACTGGCTTCCGTGTTCCATTCCGTGACTGTGTGTGAGTGAGTTTTATGAGGGTGAATGTGAGTGTGCATGCTGGAGTGAGAGTCTGTGCATCTGTGCGCGTGCACATGGATGAGTGTTGAGCTTGTGTAGATGAGAGTCAGCAGATGAAGTTTAGGGTTGTGTGTGCGTGTGTTTATGAGTGTGTGTGTGTGTGTGCACATGCCTGTGTGAACTCTGTGTGTGAGTGCTCATCGATGTGTCTGTGTATGAGTACAAGAGTGTGTCCAGGAGTGTGAGTTTGTGAGTGTGGATTTTTAGATGTGAGTGCGCAGGTGTGGGTGCCTGACTGTATGAGCATTGTCAACAAAGGGCACTAACCAGGTAGCAAAGAGGCATCCTGACTGATCAAAGTATTTGATAGGAGATTTAAAAATCCGTTTCTTCTAGAACTGGATGCTTCGGTCAACTAAACTAAAATTCTGGAGGAAAAGGGTTTCCTAATTTCCCCCCTCGCTCCCTTGCAGCCCTTTCTAGATTTTATCTATATTTACATGACCATTAGCGTCAGGGATCACAGATTGAGACAAACTATGAGTTGCTTTTTTGACTCCACGTTATGAAGATTCTTTTGAAGGCTGCAACATGTCTTCACAATGATCATGCCAACCACGGGCTCACCTCAGCTCCGGTGGCTATTTGACTATGTGATTTGTGATGTAAAACCTTGGGGAGTGCCGGGCAGGGCTGTGAGTCTGACTTCCAGGCCCCCATGCTGTCCTCAGGAGGGGATTACTGGGTCAGGCATACAACCAGCTTTATGGCTATTGAGTGGTGCCGGCCAACTGTTTGAAGGTGCTCTTCTGCCTCTGATGTGCCACTTTGATTTGGCCTGTCTTCTCCTGCCAGTTCAGAATGATCCCGTAAAAGAATACATTGCATTTGAGGGAGGGAGTCCGATCTGGGTCTGAAATGTGTTTCATTTTGCGTAACCGGGCGATGGGATCGCTAGCTGGGGCCTGGTCTGCGGGGGTACTCGCCTTTTCTAAAAGGTGCCATCTGTTTGGAGTGAGAATAGGCTGTGACATGCAGGTGCCCCGAGGGACAGGACTGCAGCAGTGGCAGGCGTTAATGAGCAGGCATAAGGGGCTGCTCCCAGGGCGGGTTCCCTCTGAAGCCATTGCCACTGGCAGCAGCACCGGGAACACAGGGCCCTTTCTACAGCCGGTGGCACCACAGACCTGCTCCTGCTCCTGCTCCCGCTCCTGCTCCTGCCCAGAAGCCGGGACCTCTGCGTGGAGGCCCAAGGCCCACGCCGCCCCGACCATGCTCAGGCCCCTGGGGCTAGTCCTGCTAGTGCTGCTCAGGGCTGTGAGCCTGAGTCAGGCCAGCGGCTTCACAGGTGAGGGGGCTCAGGCTGCAGTGGGGCAGTTCTCCAGGAACGGGGCTCCTTCTGACATGCGTGTACGCATGGGCCCATGTGCACATATGTTCGTGTGTGAGCATATGTGCATGTTGCATGAGCTTATTTGCCTGTGTGCTCATGTGTGACTCTCTGTGCTTGCTGTGTGTCCGAGGGTGCCTGTCTGGACGAGGGTTCTGGCGGCATCCGATGGAACCTTGGAGAGCCACCGTGCGCTGAGAGGTGTTCCATTTCTCCAAGTGTTTCCTCGAGAGGACTGTAAAGGAAGTGGCGTGCAGCCCCCACAAACAGCCGCGCTTCCCAGGGGCGGGCAGCATTGTTGCGTCTGTTTCATGGGAGGTCTCCTAGGGGATGACCAGGTGGAAATGCAGACCAGAGTCAGCAGGACAGGTGGACCCAGAACGTGCCTTTCTGCCAGAGATGCCCAGGTTCCTTGAACCACGCTGAGCAACAAGCTCCAGGAGATCCCAAATCCTGGCTCTTCCGACCCTTCAGATGCAAATCCTTAATGTACAGAAACAGAGATCCAATATGGCAGAGACTCCAGCGTAGAGACAAAGCTTGCCAAGGGTGGAATTACCATGGGGAGACCTTGACCCCTGACGCCTGACTTGTCCTCTCTCCCTCCCTCCCTTCCTCCCTCTAGGGAGGGTCCGTACTCCCTAATGCACAACCTGGGTTCGGCCTGGTCAGGCCATCTGTCAAACAGGGATGGAAACGTCTGACGGGCTGGGGTGAGGGCCACCCTGCAGAGACTCTCCAGGACCCTTCAGAGTTGTGCTCCAGCCATTTGCTCTTGGCCCCCTGTTAAATGGTCACTTTGTGCCGGGCGGCCTTGATTTCCTGGAGTCAGTCCACCCCGAGGCACAGGGACTAGTTCACAAATGATAAGATGGGGCAGCGGCAGCCGTGGAAGATGCTGAGTCTCCCCGCCGACATTTGTGCGACTTGGCTAGACGTGGGTCTGCCCAAGCCAGAGCCCAGGCTCTTTCCAGAGCAACCCACCCTGCACTCCACTCCACTCGGATGCCCCTGGAAGGATTGGCTGAAGGAAATGGTCTGGGCTCGGCCTGGGGATTACAGAACAGAGTGGCCTGAGCGGAACGAGAAACAGCCACCCAGATCCCGAGTGTAGTATCACAGGACGGATGTGCCTATGGCGTGAGCACGCAAGGACTATGGGCACATACAGGCACACATGTGTGTTTGCATGTAGATTGCATGAGTCTGTATATTTGCATGTGTGTTTCCATGTGTGCAGAAGTGCACCTGTGTGTGTGTGTGTGTATAGGAGGCCTGTGCTAGGTCAGATGGAGCCACTGTGGCTTTCCACAGAGGAGGAACTCCAGCCTTGCTGTGGGGTCGACACCTGGTCTCAAGATGAAAAGCAAAGCCGCCTTCACACACAGCTTGCTGCATTCTGTATGCTGGCACTGCCCGGCCCCCTTGTTCTCTGCAGCCACTGCAGTAGGGACGGCACTCATTAAGCCCGTTTCCTCCAGCAGCATCGGCCACTGCTGGGCTCCCCTCAATTAGGCGGTTTCTCTCTGCCCTCCATGCACATAACCAGGAGCCTCTCCTTTCTTCCCAAAGCCCTGTTCCTGGCTCCCGGCTGAAGATGACAACAGGCTGCTCCCCCAGGGAGGCTCTGCTACCCCGCAGCGTGGCCAGCTACCCTGGTTGTCCCATTGCATGGCTATTACTGCCCCAAGGGACAGGTAGATGACTGGCACTCTGCCTGGGGTGGTCTCTCTCCTTGCATGGGGGTAGGGTTCACCCTGCCTGTGTCTATCTGGCTCTGCCCCAGGATTAACAACCCTCCCGGCTTCTCCCTGGGGGAATCCACGGCCCAGGGGTGGCCAGGGCTCACCTCCCGTGGTGGGGTGGTCCTGAAGTCAAAGGACTGGATCGGCCCAGGGGTGGAGCAGGCAGGGGAGGGAAGACACTGCTTTCCTGTGACTTACTTGCTCGGGTGCCTCTGCTGAGATTCAAGGCTGTATGCTGGATGACAGAGACCCTCCATGCTGGCTGCGCAGGCTCGAAAGCCCCAGATGGCATCTCCCTCCTCGTGCTGCTTCAGTGAAGTACTCCAAGCAGGTGGCTTTCAAGGACAGAACTGTTTGCTCTCCATTCTGGAGGCTAGAAGTCCTCATCAGAGCCCCGGCTGGCCATGGGCTTTCCTTGGCTCTTTGTGGATCTTCCCAAGGCATCTTTCTCCCTCCTGGTCTGCTGCTCTTTTAGAAGTGATTAGTTATGGGACCCACCCTACCTTGGTATGCTCTCCACTGATCGAGTGGTTATGTTACATTATGGAAAGTGACATTACATTGCATCGTATCCGCAGCCATAGGGGTTAGGATTTCAACATGCATTTTGAGCAGCTAACGCCATCGTTCCATGACAGAGCTTTGAGGCTGAAGATCTGCAAAAGCAAAGATATGTTCAAACCTTAGTTTCCTAGTGCTGCTCTGAAAAAAAGAAAGAAAGGAGAAGCTACAAGTGCGTGGTTTTAAAGGACAGAGTTTATTGTCTTCCACGTTGGGAGACTAGAAGTCCAAACCAGGGTGTTGACTTTCAGCGACGGACTCTCCTTGAGGGCCCCCAGCATTCCCTGGTGTTCCTTGAGTTGTAGAAGGCCTGTCACGTGACCCCTGGCTGCCTCCTGAAGGAGTATGGGTTTGTTCTGCCTTTCCTGATAACCCAGAAGGCCGCAGTGGCTCCCTAGGGAGCCCCGGGACCCACATAGGGGACGGTTTATGGACGTAGAGTCTCAGGGCTGGTAAATGTGCTATGTGCCACAGGGTCTTGGGAATCGGGTGACGATGTTGGTGAAGGGGCAATGGGCATTTGTGAATAGGAAACAGGCTTCCGTTCACAGACACCGAGGGCCCGACTAAGGGGAACTGGAAGCCTGTTCTGGGTGGGGGTGGGGACAGCTGTGCCCGCCCCTGATGACAAGCGTAACCCTCCAATCAAATTTCATCATTTGTACATGTCCTCACACCTGCTTTACATATTGATGCATTTTTTTTACCTCGTTTCAAAAAATGTTTCACCATCCTCCATGGCTGCCACATAATAGGTCTTCAGGAGAGCCTTGTGGCAGGGATCGTTGTTTATTCATTTCACACATGGTGATGTTAGATCTCTCCCTCTCGTGGGAGAGATATACCTGGGTCCTTGGCTTTGTGGAGAAAGAATTCACGCCGAAGCCTGGTTTGTGAGCCAAGTGAATTGTATGAAAGTTAGAAGCAGTTTCAGGTTTTCCAGTAAGTGGAACACAAGCCAGACAGAGTCCCTGGCACAGTTGGCGGTACGCGGTACAGCCACGTTGCGCTGTGTAGCCCGGCCACACTGCACTGTGTAGCAGCCGCTGGGAGAGAGAGCCAGAGCAAACCCTCTGGCTTCCAGGGACCCCACTGGGAGGTGTGGTTGACAATACTGGTTGACCCCCTTGGCTGAATCCAATTCACCTGGCTTAGATGAGTCAATCCAAGTGTAACGCCCACCTAGGTGTACCGCCCCTTCCTGTCCAGGAGCTCGAAACTAACAGTAAGTCTGAGGCTCACAGGATGAAGAGATGTGCCCGAGGTTCCGCGGCCTGTGGGTCTGGGACCCAGGGAGCAGTTGTGGTCCCCAGGCCTGTTCCTGTTTGGGAATCCTGTGTGGCATCATGGTTACGTGCTAGGCTGCTAACCAGAGGAAGGTCAGCAGTTCAAAACCACCAGCTACTCCACAGAAGAAAGATGGTGCCCTCTACTCCTGTAAGGAGGTACAGTCTCAGAAACCCACAGGGGCAGGTCCACCGTGCCCTGCAGGGCCTCTGGGAGTTGGAACAGACTCGATGGCAGTGAGAGGCTGGGGAGCTGGGGAGTGTAGACCAGTGTTGCCTAAAGTGGGCAATACTGCCCCCCACCTTGGGGCTCTGCAAATGTTTGGAAACCCCAAATTTGGCCTACCACCCCCTTTTCAGAAAACAGTTTGGGAAACCCTAGCGCAGGACAATGAACATTCAGCCCCATGCTAAGCGAAAGGTTGGTGGCTTAAGTTCACCCAGAGGCACCTTGGAAGAAAGGCCTGGTGATCTGCTTCTGAAAAACATCCATGGGAACCCCAAGGAGCAGGATTCGACTCAGACCCCCATGGGGCACCACGAGTTGGGGTTGACTCCGCAGCCACTGGCTGGCCCCCAGGAGCATGAGTCAGACCCAGACTAGCAGCTCCATGCTCTGCGTGCGAAAGGATCTTTTGTGGTGCACCCACCCACCTGAAACTCTCTTCTCTCTCCCCACCTCCACTCTTTATGGTTTTATTGAGCACAAATAAAACCTTCAAACGGGCTGTCTGTTCATGTCCTTCCCTGCAAGGCCTGGCACTGGGATTGGTGACTCCGATAGCCAACTGGGCTGCTCTCTCCCGCTGTCTTTGTGATTCTTGGAGGAAGCAGCATGGTGAGCAGTCTCCGCACGGCACGACTGGTTGTCCATTGGCAGCACTTCCACCCCTTGGGCGTTGCGGACCTGCGCCAAGTGCACCTGGTTTCCTTGCTGCTTCACTAACCAGTGTTGGCCGTCAAGATCTGGCCCTTGAATCTTCCCCGCACCCTGTTATCAGTGCCTCTGGACTGCCTCCAGGTCCGCTTAATTTTGACAGCACGGTCTCCGGAGTGCCGGATGAACGTCTTGGTCTTCTTTTTGCCATTTTGGGCTTCCCCAAGGGTCTGGGGGCAGCCAAGATGCCTTCAAGGAAGAGACACCCCTGGGTCAAGTGAGTCCTGGGAGGGAGCCTTCCTTCCCAGGGTCTCTTCTGATCAGCAGCTACTGAGCAGACTGCAACTGGAATGGGGCTCCGAACGACAAGCTTGGCGTCCCTGCCGTCTCTGAAGCCGGCAGAACACTGGCTAGTCTCCAGATGCGGTTCCTGTCTTCCTTCTCATGAACACGAATGTGACGGTGTCCCCAGAGTGCTTGGAGACAAAGCCCCTAGAGATGAGTCCAGTGAGCAGGTTCCGAGAGGTTTGCCAAGTGATGGCCACTGGTGTTTCTTTCTCTGTGGCTCCCGGGCCCTGCCTTACTCCCTTCCCTCCCTCTCTCCCTCCTTCGTAGACAAAGGCCTCTCCTTGTTGAGCTACCAGCTGTGCAACTACCGCGTGACCCAAAATGTCCCGAAGGTGCTGCCCTTCCAGACGTCCGCCTCAACCTATGCTTCCTGCGGCGGCTGGATCCCATGGCGACAGTGCTCGAAGACCGTCTACAGGGTCCGGTACCTGACGGTGCAGGTCCCCGAGACCAGGAACGTGACCGACTGCTGTCAGGGCTACGAGCAGCTAGGCCTCTATTGTGTCCTGCGTAAGTCCCAGAGCTGGGGGGGACGGGGGACAAGGCCTGGTGGCCACCCTCCCTGGGGGTTCCTCAGGAGGCACTGCTCTTGTCCATGAGCCTGGAATGTGCTAGAACCTTTCAGCACTTGGTCCTCAGATTGAGGCATGCATCAGGCTCACCTGGAAGGGGTGTGCGTTAAAACATAGCTCACTGGGCCCCACCTCAGAATTCTGGTTCTTTGGGTCAAGGATGAAGTGGCGATAATCCCAGTTTTGTTCTGTTGGGATGTTCTGATGACTGTTGAAAGTGGGTTTTGATGGTAAGTTGGATTACCGCCCCCTTCCACCACACCCATGTCTTCATTATCATTGCCTTGTATGATCAGGCCTGTATACAGTGAACCCTCGTTTATCGCGGTTAATCGGTTGTAGACCCTACCGTGATAAATGAAATTCCGTGAAGTAGGATTCCTTATTTGTAAATCAAATATTTTCGTGGTTAGAGCATAGAGGACATGAAAAAACACCCTTTAGTCACTATTACACTCGTATTACCCAATTTATTAAACGAAAAAGGGAAAATGCAAAACATTTTGGACGTTACAATTATCATTTATTATTTATTATATTATGAAGTACAATGGATGGAGCAAACGGAAGACTCATTCAAGTCGAAATGGCGTGCAACCTCCACGATTTTCTTGCCATCTTTGATCATATCCAAAAGTTTCACCTTTTCCTGGATGGTGAGCATCTTCCTCTGGCGCTTATTTTATTGTCAGAAGGCTTAGAAGAAGCAGCTCGTTTAGGAGCCATCATAGGGCTTAGATAAAATTTCTTAAAAATCGCAAACAATTACAGTACACTGTACAAAAGCAAAAATGCATCTGATACGTAGCTCCGATACGTAGCGATGCAGACAGAAGCGTGTACAGTATGAGCCAATCAGTGGCAGTAATGACAGAGCATGCGCTGTTACGCAAAAACCTTGATAGAGTGAAGCCGCGGAAGTCGAAGTGCGAAGTGGCGAGGGTTCACTGTATGTCTGAGATCCAGTGTTGCCATCTGTTAATGTGTCCAGCTTTGCATTTTAAATCCTGGCAGCAGGGTGTTTCAGCAAACGAAACCCTCCTCTGAACCCTAATATCAGAAAATCGCTGTCTATAAGATTCTCGGGACTGTCAGGTTCTTGGGGTGAGGCTGGCTGACTATGGGGTCTGGGCTCTCTTTGATGGCTTGCAGGGGGAGGTTGTGGCCTGTGTGTGTGCAGGTGTGGTGGTGGGAGGGCATTGTGAGTATTGAGGCAACACCAGACCGAAAACGAGCCTCGAGGTGAAGGGGAAGTGGGAAGATGGGGTGGCTCACGGAGACGGCACCGCCCCGTCTTAGGCACCAGGGTTGCTGCCAAGAGAGCAGGAAGCCCAGCTCTGGGGGTCCCAGGTGACCTCAAGTCCCCATACCTGCACAATAGCAGACAGGACTGCAGCCACACCCTTCTCCCCAAGCCAGAGGTCCGGGCTGTTGAGTCCAGGGTCAGCACAGACCCTGCAGAGTACACGCTATTCCCTAGCCACTCCGAGTCAGCTTGAGCATGTTTCCCAGGTCACAGGGGTCATTGCCCCATCAGAGGGCCAGGCCCAAGGTAGTTTGGTGCCTCTGGTTTGAGCAGTGTTGCAGAAAGAGTCCCTGGAGGGGCGTAAAGGGTTAACTTGATCAGTTCCCACCCAGAAGGTTGGTGGTCTGAACCCACCCAGAGATGCGTGGGGGATAGGGAAAAAAAAAAAGCTGGTGATCCACTTCTGCAAACCCCCCTTGGAAGGTAGTTGTGCGTGGGGCTGCCCTGGGCCAGATGTTTGCTCCTGGTGCCTGGGGCCAGCTGGCCACAGGTCCAGCTGCTGGGTCCTGGTCTATATTCCTGACAGCTCCCTGGTCGAGGCTTGCAGGGAGAGGCTGCCTCGAGTTTTTATCTTCTCCTGCCCACCCCAGTTACTGGGTCCAAATGTCCCCTTCCGGCTTCCTGGGGCTGCAGGAGGGAGAGGTTAGAACCTGGGCTGTGGCTGTGCTGTCGTCTGCCTGGGAGCAGCCTGATGTCTTGGGGTAAGACCACCTGGGGGGCACCTAGTGTTCTGAAGGCCATGGGCGGGGCCATCTTGGCATCGAGGGTGTGGGCCTTACAAGCAGACAGACAGCAGTAGGTCGAGTCTAGCTCACATTGGCTGGCCATGGTGTGTGCACGCCCACACTCCTTCCTACCTGCCTACTGTAGTCACATCCACGAGGTCATGGCCCAAAGGGCTGGAGAGGGCCCTCAGGCTGTGCTAACCAGTCTGCAAGCCCTTCCTGTGCAAAGGTTTTACTAGCTTTGACTCATCATGATCCCGTGGGCGTCAATGATACTGAGCGTATAGGGTTGTCAGGGATGAAGTCTCCTGGGGCCTGGGTGGGGCAGAGGGTTACCCATTGGACTGCTAGCCAGAGGCCGGCAGTTTGGACCCAGCAGCAGCTCTGAAGGACAGAGATGAGGTTAACTGCTCCTGTAAAGATTTAGTACCAAAACATCCTTTATAGGGTCCCGATGAGTTGGAATCACTCAACGGTAGTGGATTAAAAGTTTTGGAAACAGATGCCACGACGGGTTTGCGGGGAGGCCCAATCAACTCCGTGTGTCGGGGCGGGAGAGGGCCTGTTTGGGGTGCAGAGGAGGCTGGAGCTCTTCCCCAGGGAGCCCCTGCTTGGTGCCAGGGTCGCGTGCAGGTCACCATAAGTAATCGTGGAGACTGGCCTCCCCTGTTCTAGGGTCAATGGCGGGCTTCTCTTCCCCGTGCTGTGACATCACAATTGTCGCCCGAACTGCCTGTGACGGGACACTGGCCAAAGCCACAAGCAGGGTGACCCATCAGCACAAGCTTCTCTATGCGCACGCAGCTCTTCTGATCAAGGTTTGGGGGGCTTCACGCTACTTCATTTGGAGGGGCCAGGTGAGAGGCTGGCTACCTGGACTGGAGGTGGTGTCCTTGAGTCATGAGCTAGGGGCCGCAGGTCTGGGTAGGCACCTGGAGCAGCCTGGACACCTGGGGAGGAGAGAGGACAAAGAACTGTCTCCTCAGGGCAGGGGCCCCTCCCCGTGGCTAAAGGAGGGCTGACTGCCTTTTGGCAGCCGGTGCTCTGAGCCCCAGAAGCCTTGCCCACTCCCACCCCCCACCCTCCCACCTCGACAACAGAGACTCCGTCGGCAGACTTGGTTCCCTCTCTCTCCCTCCCACTCCACAGCAAATGATCTACCCTGGGGAGGAACATTCTATCAACACAGGCAAACCTCCTGCCTGAATGCCCCTTTCAGTGTCTCAGCCCTGCGTTTGGAGCCCCAGGATCAGGTGTACCTGACTTTATCGAGAGGCTTCCATTTCCTAATTACAAACGTGGATGTAGTCTATGTGCAGAAAACGTGGAACCACAGGAAACCCCCAGAAAGGCGAGGTGCTCGGAAGCCGGCTACACAGAACAGCCACTGCTACCATATTCTTCAGGAGTCCCCGGAAGGGGGGTGCGGATGGTGACGGGCTCACAGAGGAGCCAACAGGTGGGTGTGTGCGACACACCTGGGGGCAGCTCGGGCTCAGGCCTAGCCATCTGCTTCGCCAAGGCCACAGCCATGGAGCAGTTCTGCTCTGCCCTCAGGGGTTGGCAGGAGTCTGAATAGCTCGATGACAACAGGCCGCAGAGCTGTGGCCTTTTAGAGAGTACCCAATGCGTCTACTAGAATTTTCCAGGAGCAGGGTCACCTTGCACAAGCTCTTTGGTCGCAGGCTTTTGACCAGGTAGTACTTTGTCCCGCACCTCTCTCGATGTTAATATGTAATGTGGCCCGGCACCCTCCAACGGCCTCTTAGAGATGTCTCAGTGTGGACGCATTGCTCTCCTACCGCTTCACATGTGAACAGGGGGTTGTTTGCCATTTCCCATTACAGCGACTAAGGTGAATAATGTTTTGATGAACGTTCTCTGGTATAAACCCTGGCAAAGCCCGTTTGGAAGATCGGCTAGTAGTGGTTGTTAGGAGCTGTTGAATGGGTTCTGACTCACAGTGACCTGAGTCCAACAGAGAGAAATGCCGACGGGTCCCGCCCCATCCTCACGATGGTTCTTGTGTCCGAGCCCATGGTTGCAGCCACAGTGTCAATCCACCTGGTCGAAGGCCTTCCCTTTGCCTCGTGGTGGTTGACACAGGAGCCTAGCAGGCTGAATTCTGGCTCGGGGCCCTGGAGGCAGGCTTTCGGTGTCAGCTCTGCGGGCAGGCCTTGTCTCTCCCAGTGTCTATAGCCCAGGTTCATCAGCTCCTTGGTGGTCTTCACATGGTAACTATTGTCCCCCAGTGTGAGCTTGCTTCTGTGTCTCATCTTCTCTTTTAAACTCAGAAGGGATTAGATTCCCCTTGACTGAGGGTCTCCGATCTGACCTCAGAGAGATGCCCAGGAAGGAGAAGGACCGGTCTTGGCCATGATGGCGCCTGCCCTGGGCACCACATGAAGGGGGTGCCATGGTGCCGAGTCATCCAGTGTGGGCCAACAGGCTTTCTCAAGCAAGGGGGCCACAGGGGTCCATGGAGAGGTGAGGGGGCAGAGGAGCAGTCCAAGGGAGGTACCACAGGAGGTGCAGAATGACATTCCCAGGTGCAACAGACACAAAAGTTACCTGACGGAGGCAGCGGGACACAGACGGGCGTCTGTCTCTCCTGGCACATCTGTCTGTCCCTACTGGCACGTCTCTTCTCAGGGGCTGTTCTTGAAATGGGGACTGGGCACGATTGAGAGGCTGTTCCTGAGCGCTTACATTGGGGGAGGGTGCAGTTTAGCGATTGCCCCCTGGGTGCTCATGACTCTCTCTGCCCCTGGGCTCAGGGACCTCAATTTCCAGGCTGATCGGGTTCCCAGCCCCGCGGGAGCCTTTGCTGCTCGGCTCAGAGAAACCTCTGCTGTTCACTGGCTGAACGGGGACAAACCTTGGGTTGCCAGGCAATGGGCCGCTCTGTTTTCTTGTTTGTGTGGGTTAGGGAAGGAGAGCAGGGTGTTGACTTTCTACCAAGGGCCATTACTGGCAAGGCTCTTCAGACGGGTCACCCACTTGCCCAGGACGGTGGAGGGGGGTTCCCAGCCACAGCCAGATGGAGATGAACTGTCATCGGAAAAGACCTCCGTTTGATGAGGCAGATCTCCGAGGGAACCTTCTGCTCTTTGTTTCGGTGGCCTGTGTTGACTTTCTTTGTTTCCAATTAACTTTCGTGAAGAGCTGAAACAAAACCACCACTGGGCATTGATTCTCCTTCGCCCCCACCCCCCAGACTCCAGATTTTCCATATAGGCTCCAGCCAGTCCTTTCAAAGAGCTTTCTTTCCTTTGTAAATCAGGATACCATCAGGCACCCATGGGTGAGATTCAGAAACAGCACCTTCTCTCTGTGTCTTCATTTAATTTCAGTGCACTGTAGCTTAGAAGGGAGAAAGCCAAGGCTTTCCGCTCCATAAAGACCTACAGTCTCAGAAACCCACCTGGGACAGTTCTACCCGGTCCCATGGGGTCGCTGTGAGTTGGCATCGGCTCGGGGGCAGTGAGTGTGGTTTGGTTTGGTTTGGGTTTACTTGTCAGCCGACAGGAAAGGCATTGAGCTAATAAGGGAGTTCCTGTATCCCCCTCACTCAGAGCCCCCTAGTGTTAGGGTCTTTCAAAAACACAACCACCTCACTGCCATCAGTGGATGCTGACTCAGAGCGACCCTGTAGGATGGGGTAGTCCCTCTGAGATTCTGAGCCTGTAACTGCTGAAGGGAGTCGAAAGCCCTGTCTCTCTCCCATGGAGCAGCCTGTGGTTTCGAACGACTGACCTTGAGGATCAAAGCCCACTTTGTAACCACTAGGCCTCCAGGGCTCGTACCAGTGACTGTCAGGCTGGTCCCCACCTCACAGTGACTTGAGGCTAGTGGAATGAAATGCTGCCTGGTCCTGCACCTCCCTATGAGTGGGTGCAGACAGATCCTTTGTGACTTTTGGAAGTGGATCTCCAGTCCTTTCTTCCGAGCCCATCTTCGTCTGGAAGCTCTGCTGAGCTCTCTTCAGCATCAGACCCATGCACAAGCCTCCCCTGACAGACAGGTGGTCGCTGTGAGTGAAGTGTACCGGCCAGGAACCAAACCCTGGTCCCCACCTGGAAGGAGAGAATTGTACCACCGAACTTTCCATCGCCGTGAGCCATTGGTCCGACAAAGGGCCAACACTGGTGCGTGGCTGGTGTTGAGGTGTGTTGTCAAGTGGGTCTCCAGTCAAAGTGACCCTAGAGGACAGGGTAAAACATCCCCACACCTTTCTTAGACCCTCACCTTGAAAAATGACCATAAAAAGTTTTATTGACACTTCATTCACATGTTATACAATTCATTCACATGTTATACAATTCAATTGTATCAAGACGAGTGTGATTATCACCAAAATCAATTCTATAACATTTCCTTCCTCCTTGTACACATTATTAGTCATGTATTTTTAAATTGTGGTAAAAATAAACACAATGAGACATTCTCCAATTCCACAACTTCTAGATGTATAATGCAGCACTATTGATTATACTCTGTGTCATACAACCATTATTGACATCCTTTCCCAAGTTAGTCTACCACCCATCACATAACGTCAGTGCCCCTAAACAAACGCTGGTCCCCCTGTATCCATGGTAACCACTGGTCAACTTTGGTTTCTTTTTTAGTAGTTTTCTTGATATAATATTTACATATCATGCATTTTCATGGTTAAATCGCTTTTAAAAAGAGTTGTATATACATCGTCACATTCGTTTTAATGCTCCCTCCCCACTCCCGCATTCATTGTTTTCGCCCCTCAACATCCCCCCCCATCCCCCTCCACATCCCACATAAACCATCACATGGTTATCGTCTCTGTGCATCCGCTCCTCTGTGCTTCCCAACAGAGAAACCCAGCAGAAACAGTACAAAGCAAAACGGCAAGGAAAAAAAACAGGTAAAGATAAAACCCCTCCTCTTTCTAGGAGGGGCCCTGGAGTTGCAGGGGTTCAGCGCACTCAGCTACTAACTATGACAAAGTTGGGGGTTGAAGCACCCCCCCCACCCCCCCGCTGTTCTGCAGGAGATGATATGGCCGCCCGACTCTGACAAGGCTCACTGGCTTGGAAACGCTCTGGGGCCACTCTGTGCTGTGGCGGCGCAGGTTGCTAGGCCTCGGAACTGACTCAGCGACAGTGGGTTTGAGATGTTCGTAGTTGTTCTGGGGACAGATGGCCAGGCCTCCTCTCCCACAGATCTGCCGGTGGGATTGACTCATTTCATCTTTCGCTCAGCGGTTGCATAACCACCTGGGCAGCCAGGCTCCTTGATGCTAATCAAAGATTCCACATGCCTCTGGGCACCACCTCTCCTCGTCTGGAGGCCAGTTTTTATGTGGAAGGGAAAGCATTGCCCTTGGGAGCCGACTAGCAGCTCATACGAGGTCCTGGCATGCCATCCTAAGACACTCTCATGGGTGGCACCATGTTTCATGCTCCAGCCCCCTCCCGGCCCCCTGATGTCTCTAGGACTAGAGGCATGGGGTAGCCACCACATGCGTGAAGAAGGACCCTAAGACCACCTTGGAAGAAGTCATGGCCTCTTGGGAATCAGGCTGGAGTCCTGGCTGCTTCCCTCACCCCCAGGCCCAGACAGGAACTACCTCTCCTGACTGCTCACCCCACACGTCTTTGCTCTCATCCCTCCATGCTTTGGTGGCACCTCTGTCATCCTCCACCCGCACCCCACTGGAATCTCAGCTTCCCAAAGGCAGGGCGGTGTGCGGCCCACTCTGTGTGCCTGGCCCAGAGGAGGCGCTCTGGGTTTGTTGAATACATGAGTCAGTGAAGGAGTGGGAGATCAGGAAGTGAAGCAGCAAGGGGCTTCTCAGGCCGTTGGATATTCCTACACCTGGGCCCCCAAGCCCCAGAGGGAAGGAGGACGCCAGGACCTCAGCTGGCACTGACTGTCCTTCTTCATGGAGAGATGCTGTACTAAAGACAAGCCACCAGGGTCAGGGGTGGCTGGGGAGAATATCGGACATGGGGGCTGCCCAGACTGGAGACCCCACATGGCCCCTCCAGACACTGCAGGTGGACCCAATGCAGGAAGATTCTCAGTGTCCTTTACTGTACTTTCCTCCAGCTCTGAACCGGTCCAGGGAGTTTACATCGAAGCCAGGTGTCTGCCCAGCACTGGGGCCGGGACCGTCCACCGTACCCTGCACCCTGGACACTGACTGCCCGGGACTCCAGAAGTGCTGCCGCTGGTCCGAAGACCACCGCTGCATGGACCCCGAGCCTCCAGGTAGGCTGGAGCTGCGATCTCTCAAGGGCTCTTGGAGGGAATTCCTGTGGGGTGGGATGGAGGCTCATGGGGCAGACTCAGGAGTAACCCACTTCACTGGGGCCATGGCAGGTCCAGAGCCGGGTTTGGGGTCAACATCTGGTCTCTGAAATCTCAGAGTACAAGGGGCTGATGGCCTCATAGGTAACACTAGAGTCCCTAGAATCACCCCAATTCCTCCAGTTTCTACAGAAAGCCCAACATTTGGCATGGGGAAGGTGCAAGTCCCCTGCCTCCTGAAGCATCCTGGGGACTGAAGTCCTGGCTGGCTCGAGTGTGCCTACCTATTCTGGAGTGTTCTGCCCTGGAGGCTGCCCCAAGGAGAATGGCCAACATGCTCAGAGTCAATGTCTAAGGGAAAACTATATATAATAGCTTAAAAAAATAAGCCCTCTGCCGTCAAATTGATACCGACTCAGTGGCCCTATAGGACACGGTAGAACTGCCCCCATGGGTTTCCAAGATTGTAACTGTCTACAGGAGTAGAGAGCCTCATCTTTCTCCTGAGGAGCGGCTGGTGGATTCCAACTGCTGACCTTGCAGTTAACAGCCCAACACATACACCCCACACCACCAGGGCTCCTTTAGATGAATATAAAAAACGTCTAGTGTATTATTTATAAAGCTTAAAATAAAAAATACATCCTATACTATTTAAATGAAAAGAGATGATTTATATCATTAAAGGGGGCCCTGATGGTGTAGTGGTGAAGCACTCGGTGGATAACTAAAAGGTTGGTAGTTCAAATCTGCCCAATGGCTCCGAGGGACCAAGACCTGATGATGGCTTCCCTCAAGATCACACAGCCTGGAAAACCCTCTGCAACCTTCACCTTGTCACGTGGGGGCCCAACGAGCCAGAATCAACTGGGCAGCACGTGACAACAGCATGCAAATGAAAGCCCCCTGCCCATGGCCACTGAGTCTGTGCGGTCTCGTGGAGACCCTATTTAGGGTTTCTGAGGCTGGAAATCTCTACCTCATCTTCCCCGGCAACATCATAATTCAATAGTATCATTACTTGGCATCATTAAATTATGAGAGACTATTTATAATATTTGAATGATTAGAGACTATTGTTTAACCATTGAATATCATTTGTAAATTTCAAGTGATTAAACATGGTGGCATATTTAATTATTGATGGTTGCATATAATACCTGACTTATTAGGTGTTACCTATAATATTTGAATTGTAAAACATTATTTATATTTAAATTCTCAACCATTTGTAATGTTTAAATTAGTAAATACTGTGCACACATACAGGATTAACCATTGCCTAAATACTTGGCATCCATCCTCCATCCTAACATCCATCCTGAGGGTGTTTCTGTAAGGGCAGCTCCATCCCCAGGGGCTCCCTGGCCAGGGGCAGTGGTATCCATTGAAGATCTCCAAGAGGAAGAGGTTGGAGGGACAGAGATTGAGGGGAGCCAGCTTTCTTCCTGGAGGGAGAGAAATGCCGCCTGCCAGGCAGGTTTCCGCCTCCTTCCTCCCCCACTCACTCTGGGGACGTAGGGGCTGCTGCTTCGTCCCGGGTTTGTAACCATATCCACATTTACCTTCACGCAGCTCTGGAGAGGAACCCGAGGACCTCCTGGTACAATGTGACCATGCGTGTGAAAATGGACTTCAAGGAGCTCCGCCACGTGGACCCCCAGCTCCTGAACCACACGAGGCTCCTGTACTCCATGGTACGCGCGTGCCTCGTGCCTCGCAGTGGGCGCTCAGCAGGCCGGGGAGTCCCAGACGCTCTCGGGAGTTCAGTAGCACTCCGGGTCTGCAAGATTTCAGGCACCTCCCCCTCACCCAGTGTAACAACTGAAAATGTCTCCAGACGTCATCATGTGTCCCCATCAGGCAAAACCGCCCCCCAGAGTGGAACCACTGGGACTGCCACAGCTCACGTTTCCTGTAGTCTCAGTGACGATCTTACCGTCACGTGGTAGGGAGGGCAGTGCCCTCTGGGTGGTGGCTCCTCAGGGCCCTGCACAAAGGGGCCCCAAGCTCAGTTTAGTGCTCTGCTGCCCCCTCTTGGAATGTTTGGTCACTTTGGCCTGAGGGGCTTGCACCAGGCCCTGCACAGTACACAGCGGCCCCGTGCGCAGTGGGGTATCGTGATGTCAGGCCCAGGGTCCAGCCTGCCTCTGTCTTCGGACCCAGCGCCCAGGCACAGCACACACTCAGCGTGTGCCGCCGAGCTGCTGGCCAGTAAAGCTACCTGAGCTTTTGTTCCACTCACCTTTACCTGGATGCCTCCAGGAGCGCTGCAGCCGGAAGGGATTTCTATCTCCTCCTACCTTGTTGGGGACTTCTCAAGTGGTCAGCAAGAGTCTGGAGTTAGACTGCCGGGGTTCCAGTCCCAGCACTGCCACTCATCAGCTGTGTGGCATCGTGCACTTTCCTTAACCTCTCTGTCTTTCACCATTAAGTAAAATAAGCATACTCTTATATAGGGGGTTAAGGAGCTCTGGTGGTGGAGTGGGTTACCCATTGGGCTGCTAACTGCAAGATCAGTGGTTCAATCCCACCAGCTGCTCCATGGGTGAAAGATGAGGCTTTCTGCTCCCTTAAACTTGCATAGCCTCAGCGGGCAGTTCTACTCTGCCGTGCGGAGTTGGCGTTGAATGGATGCAATGGCAGAGCGTTTGGGGTTGAGCTGAGGGAGCAGGTGCTGTTGGGTAGCGTACGTGAGCACACCAAGGACTGAAAGTGGGACCCAGGAGGTGTGGATTCAAGGGGCTGTGGTTGCTGGTATTTACAATATGAGGGCTGTGTGGGACTGGCTGTCCTACTATGTGGGGATTTGTTTCACCGGTCTGTCTCTGACCTCCCCAGAGGAGGCGCTCTGCCCGGCACGCATGGGATGCTGAGGGGAACAGGTTGGCTCCACGGCCTCTTTCCTGCCCTCTTTCTTTAGAGTTCGATCTCCTTTCATGAAGGCGCTTCAGGATGGCCGAGAGTGAGGACTCCAGTTCTCTCCCCGAGCCTCCTTTCTTGCTCCCAACAGAGACTAGGGGGTGCATTGGCCCAGAGAGCCTGTGTTGTTGGCGCTGTTCCGGTGCTGCAGCGGGGAGCATCCCCTGGCTCTCCTGGGGCTGAGGGTCGAGGCAGAAACAAAAATAATTGTTATGAAATGAGAGAAGGATCGTTGAACCAAGAAGAATCATCAGAGACCGTGGTTTTGTCTCTTCCTCTCAGCTGTCAAACCTCACAGCATCGAGGCGGGCAGGGGTGGGCTGGGGGTCCTGGGCTGACTGGGGTGGCAGGGGTATCTACAATTCTGGACTGCGGGCCTTTAATGGCATGCTACCAGGTGTCAAGATACTGTACCG